CATGCGCCTGGACGCGTCGACAGTTTTCCCGTCGTTAAACTAGCAAAAGTGGATTCGGACACGCCCTGAGTGCACCTGCGCCGTGCGCTTTAGACCATGCGCTTAGATCATTAAAATAGGGCCCAAGGCCCATGAGTCCATCTCTGACAAAGGAGGACAGCAGCTACAGTTTCTTACTCGGTCTGTCTGCATTACCTTTCATGCATTTTTGCAAATGTCATTGATTCTGTGAATCGACAGAATTTGAAGCAACGCTTCTATACAGTTTCCAGGAATTGAGGTGCACAGGCTTTTATCAGTTTCCTGGGAAGCAAGGCTTTCTTTATAGGGTATCAAACTGATATAATAAATGCTTCTGAGTAACAGCTTGTTGCTGGGATTGCCAAAGTTTGCAAGGGTTATGGCATCAGATCTTTGAAAAATATTTAACAGTTGTGTTTTAGACTAGAAAGTAAACAAGATTCTTAAGCAGCCCTAAAGACCTTGAAAGACCTCTTGCTTTTTTTAAGTTTGTAAAAAAAGCAACTCTGTGGTGGCTGATGATCCCTTTTCTAAATGAAACTGAATGCAGGGGTCTTCAAATCTGCAAGGACCTGTCCTTTCTGAAAGGCCCCTAGGTAGATGTTTTTTGGCTAGAATACGCTTCAAAATGGACCAGACTTTACACTAGTAGTAAAAAATCTGGGTCCATAAGACCAGCCAATATATAAACGATTAAGTCATCTCTTTTACATCCTGTAATTTGTATAGATAGTAAGGAGTTCAAGTGAAAGTGTCAGTTACATTAAAGGTGGATCTACTTTTGACTAGGTGCATATGAGGTACATAACTAGCATATTTACTTTCCTCAGTCATGCATCAAAGGTCATAAAAAATGACCGCATGACTGAACTGCTGGAGACTGCACTTAGGAGTGCTTATGTGCAGAGTATGTCGGCATGCACTCTTGCAAATAGGCGTAGTTAGGACTCTTCACATAATGAAGGCCTCTCGTACGGTAGCTACTTCTTGTATACTTCAGCAGAGACCTCTCGTGCTTTGAGAAACCTTTAACAATCTTTCAGCAAGAAGGAGAGCTCATCATCCTTCCACCTCTTTGTGTAAATGCTGCCTTCTCTAGGCATAATCCGAAGGTTGGAAGGTCTCAAGGCCTCAAGGCACATCCAAATCAAATGTTCACTAACAACCTGTCTAAAAAGATGCACCAATCTAGTTGATTTCTGAAGTGCCTTAGAAGACCAGTTTCCTTGAGATGTAACTTACAGAAAACACAACCTATTAAGTTGATAAAGCAGCTTTTGATTTCAGACACAGCAAGGATGCAGTGCCCCATCCAAATAATTGAATTATCTGGGTTTATTGGTGTTGTGGCGTTACGGGTAAAGAGGATTGAGCAGTAGGGTCATAGGTCTCTATGATGGATCAGGAATCGTTGGGAACTTGTTCCAAGACTGCATTGTACCAGAACCTGCAATGCCAATCTATCTCTGTTTCTACTTTAGTATCAAAAACTAAAGATTTGCTCAGAGCAATTCTATGTACCTCGACCAAGGTCAGAGGAGCGACAGAGACAGCAGGATGTAGGTCTCTGAAAGATGTCAGAGAGGAAGAGAAGCATGGGGCGCAGCCAGACGGTAGAGATAGTTCAGAGTGTATTGATGGATAAGGTATGTGTGTGTTGTCTGTTGATTGGTGAGCTCCATCTCCAGTGCTCTGTCAGCTCAGGTGAATTGATTCATCGGAAGAGCTGTCAGTTTTACTAACGAGGTGTGGTAAAAATAGAGCTGAATTAATCATAGTGGGGACACACATGGCTCACCGTCCTCTGGATAGAGACGATTCCGACGTCTTTACCTGCAGAGAGATGAGCATGCAGACGTTTGAGAGAGGGACAGCTGAGCACTCACCTGAGAAACAGAGATGGACATGTCTTCACCCGAGAGCAGTAAAGTGTCACCGAGGTCATAGTTCCTTATGAGAGCGACTTTTATTTGCCGTGGGCCTGCAGACAGTTATTTATTAACTCGCCAAAGTTTTTTTTTGTTTTTTTAAGTGACAGTAGAGAAGAAACAGGAAATAGACAGGAAATTGGGATGGATTGTATGGGGACAGGACCATAATTGAACCTGCATGAGCACCACACCTTGAAATCAAAATGGACAATTCTTATTTTTCTATGAAATATTGCAGTATTTATTATAAATGACTTAACTGTGCACATCATAATTTTTTGTAAAATTGATGCACACTTTAATCTAAAAAACTTCCCCTTCTTGCAATGATATCTCTTCTCTGATGATGTGTGCACTAGTGCAAGGGCGGGAAAACCTGTCACTCAAATGAGATCGCACCAATGGCAAACAACACCAATTCAATCAATTCTCAACAAACTATATTTTTTCATGTTCTAAAAGCCGCTTCACTTGGATGTACGTCATAATAGAGAAGAAAAGACTTTGTAACTTCTGTTTCATGGTGACTTTAATAGTGGCTGGCTTTTCTGTATTTACAGTGAGTACAAGTAAGACACCTAATTCACTACATGATGTACTGAATTCAAATCTGGTAACTGCGCAGACATGTCCAGAACATCTGTGCTGAACGCAGTTTGCACGATTCTTTCAGGATACTTTACTGAGTCTCTTCTGACTGAAACCTTTTTAACTTCCTGTTTACAGCGGATATGATTAGTGCATTGCTAATTGCAGTAGGAATGCAGTGCTGCATTAACACTAAAAAAGTATTACTTAATTTTATTTAATAATACATTAAATAATACATTAAATAATGACAATTACTTGAAGTACTACGAAACGCCTCACTAAACTTGATTGTAGGTGGTAAATGAACAACATGCTGTTTTTATGCGCTGAAATACTGTATAAAGGAGGTGTAACATGGTTAATAAATTCATCCCTATATATTCCAAAGCCTTGTCTGCTTAGTTGCCCTTATGAAAATTAACCTTGGTTTTATTATAGTAAAAGTATAGTAACCATGTTTTTTTTTTACATATTCATTACATTTGTATTAGGAATGCACTGATACCACTTTTTCCAGTACTCGCCCGATACCGATACCAATATTTTCGGTACTTGCCGATACCGAGTACCGATACCAATATTTTCATTGCATTTGTACATTTTTTAAATATTGGGTACAGAAACCAAAAGAGTATGTATAATGTTAGTTGGTTAACTTAATTTATCAAATAGAGGCGTTTGGTATCGGGGCATTTTAACGAGTACGAGTACGAGTACAGGAGCTCAGTATCGGTGCATCCCTAATTTGTATAACCACAGTTTTACTACAAGTATCATGGTTAAACTATTGTTAGCGTAGCAAAACCATGCTTAATTTGTGGTTACCGTGTTTTAACTACAGTAATCATGTGTTTTTGGTTTTATTTGTAGTAAAACCATGGTTAATTTTCGTAAGGGTGAGCATGGGTGGCTAGTAGTTGCATCCATGCACTTCACCACAGAGTTTTAAAGTTTTCAACCTCTTTTCAGGTTGAAACCTCTACTAAATCAGTAAACACAGACACACGTTAACATACTTGTTCGGGTTGTGAAAGGCTGTGCAGCCCAACCCACTTACACACTCATCGATCACACAATCGATCACAGTTTCAGAAGATGCTCCAGTCAGATTCAGCATTATTCCGTCACTTTCCTTTGTTCGCGAATGCTTGTGCATGTGTGTACTCACTTACATAAACAAAATACCCAGGTTGAAATCCCAAACTCATCTCCGTCTTAAAGCACCTCTCCCCAAACCCCCAATCTTCACACACCAGCGGTTTCCCTGGCAACCGGATTAAAGAGCTCTGCATCTTTGTGTTCAGCATATTCTTCTTTTAGTCACTGCTCTCCGTGTCTCTTTCTCCCTCTCTCTTTCTTTCTTTTTCTCTATTTGTTGCTCTTTTGTGGGCATTACACCATGATAGTCAGATGGATAGATAGATTAAGAGATGACAGATCATATACAGTTGATAGATCATTGCTTCATGAGAAAACGTAGATGCAAAACAACAACATAATTAACACAGAAAGCCCAAAATATACAAATAAGCTTCAGGAAACCAGTCCTGAGCCAAACTGAGAAAAGAGATTTTACTAAATCATTTCAGTTTCCTGACACATGAGCTTGTCCTTGTTTAGTAAGACCCATTGTGGTGTGAACCCATTGTGGGAAACATGGTGCTCATGCAGGCAATACAAGTTCGAGTCTGGCTTGCATTATCTCCTAAACCCATTCGTTGTAACAGGCGACTGATTTTCAACTTTGCTGCGCTAGTAGTTTGCATCTTGTATCACCTCTGTCTTCTCACATAATAACAATTTATACCTAAATGAACATGAAACATTGATTTGTTCATGTATTTTGTATATAAACATGCAGTACTAAGTGGAAGAATGTACTTGTTTGTTTGTCAAAATCAAAATGAAATGTGCCCACATCTGTGTCTGAGCTGCTCTGTTTATTGCTAGTTTAAGTACTAGAAGTAGCCACTAGTGTGTGCTGCACTTCAGAATTCAAACATGGTTTGCTCAAACGTTTTGTGCATGTCTGTTCAAATTTGCTTTCTCTCCAGAGAACTTTACTCCATATAGGAATACAAATATACGTTTATATAGGAAACTGGTATTTGAAACATAGCCACTGCACTTATCCACCTGTTTTGTGGCCTAAAAAAAGTGCTGTCAAAGTTGAATCCTCTGTGAGCCGTCACCCCTGTGAATGCAGAAGCGAATAAAACAGCAGGAGTCCTGTGAAAGAAGAGAAATTTCTTCTTTAACTGTCATTCCTGTTGTGGGTGGAGTGTGTGGGGATGTATTTTGACAGCTTTCTGGTACCTCAGGCATTGTGTTGCTCTTTCTCTTTCCTGCACTCTGTCACATTGTGTTTTTTTCCCCTTTCTCGCTCCCCGTTTCTCTCCTGCTGTTGGGACCGAACCAACAATAACGGTTGTTGTTGTTTGTGTGTTTCACCCACAGGCTCGGAGGCATAATCTCTGCATACAAAATAGTCCCTGATGAGATTGACGAGATCAAGGTAACGCTTCCTCTCACCCCTTCAGTGAGGCCATGAGGCACACGTGCACATCCATACACACCTCTGCACACTGCTGCCCCCTAGAGGCCAATATTAGTGCTGCACTCGAAGTGATAATATGCTTTACTTGAAGTTTATCTGAGCTCGCGTATGGAAAAATGTAATGAAAGTGTGTAAAAGTATGTAAAACTTAGAAATATCATTGCAAAAGAAAACACAAGCACACTTTTTAAACCAAAACAATGGTTAAGAATGCTGTGAGGTTTTAAAATGATATAACAAATATTAGTGGATCATGTTCATAGTTAATGAACGTGGTTTCTCTGATGAACTTCATACATCCACTAAAAATCACCTAGGTGGACTAGTTGGTTAAAAGTCTATTGCTGCAATGATGCAATGACTTGCATGTGCATATACTCTTTGGAGCCACTGTACATGATATTTTTTGCTGGTAACAGCAGTTTATAAAATGTGATATTTTATTTATCAGGCCAGACTATATGCCCGAAATAGCTGATGTGATGTTGCATCACTAGATTGAGGGTGACTGCTCATATGGTGCACAAACACACACACGCAAATGTACCTTTCTGCACTATACAAAATTACTGCTGAACATTTTATGGTGATATTCTGTGTGTTTGTGTGCATCAAAGGAGACGCTGGTGGACTGGTGCGATGAGAAGGAGCTCAATAATATGAATCAATTCACATTTTGAAGTGTGTGTGTGTGTATATATATATATATATATAGTTATCTATCTATCTATATATATATAAATATACTATATATATAGTTTATGTACCATTTTATATATATATATATATATAGCGAGAGAGAGTCTGGTGGGGATTGTGCCTGGTGGAGCGACTCTGTGAAGCTCTTTTTTGATGTATCCTGCACTCCTTCTCCTTTTTACTAATGTGAGTGTTTGAAGTGTCATTCAATTCAAGGGCACAGTGCGTCACATCGGAGAAAAATCCCCTCCCTGCTGCGCACTTTTCTTCTGACTTTGCGTGTGTTCTTGAATGTGTTTGTTTGAATATGACTGTGTGCGGGTGTGTGTGTGTTCCACCGGGATGGGACGGCGGAGGTGGAGGGACGCGTGTCCCAGGGGATGCTGGGAAGGGTTCAGTGAACGGGGATTTCAGATGGAAGAGTAGAGACATCAAAGGCCCACTGGAAATGTGTTTGTAATGAAAAATCTCAGCGACGGGGCTGTGCTTATGTCATGAGTATTGTGCTAATGCCACTGCTGTGAAGAACAATTGGCTCTAATCGATGAATTAGCTTAGCCTGTTAGCATGCATGAGGGCAAATCATGAAAAATGGTGTTAAGCAGGGTCCTTATGTTTTGTGGTTTTGTTTTTACATTTTGTCTTAAAGTTTTTACAGTTTACATTACAGTCTTAAAGGGATAGGGATACCTGGAAATGAAAATGGTCATCATTCTCATCCTCATTTCTCAAAGTAGTATCTTTTGTATACCACCGACTAAAGAAAGTTTAAAAATTAAAAAAACTAACTTAAAAAAAAATGAAACCGAATCCTGCCAGTCAGACAGCACTCATGTACTAAATCTGTACTGCAGAAAGACTGCTTTTTTCCTCTTATTATCGATTGGTACTGGTACTTTTGATGGTTTATGCACCTGTTGTTGCTTATATATGTGTGTGTTGTCCCGTCTGCAGGCCACCAGAGAGGTGATCGAGCGTGAAGCTCCAGGGATGGCCCTAGCAATGCTCATGGGCTCCCTAAATGTCACGCCACTCGGCATGCTGTCTAGGTGAATGCACATGCACAGACATGTCCTCTCATCTCACTCCTTTGCTCTGCCTGTCACTCTCAAATGCACAAGAGTAAAATATGTGTTTTGAATACTAATTGGATTAAATACTAATCATCTCCTTCCTGTAGACCCGTATGTGGAATCAGAGGCAAAACCCTCATCATTAATTTACCCGGGAGCAAGAAGGGCTCACAGGTAAGCTGTTTGTCTATGTGTGTGTGTGTCTGTCTAATGGTGCTTATATATTCTGATCATTTCCTCGTCTTCAATTATACTAGTATATCATATGTATATAGTCACCAGAATTTTTTGTTGTCGTTTTTATTGATTGTAATCACTTTGTTTTTATAACGTCAGAACAAAGTACAACCTTAAAACACAAAATGTTAAAGGAATCACTCATCCAAAAACATCCTTCCATTTACTCATGTAGTTCCTATCTATCTATCTATCTATCTATCTATCTATCTATCTGTCTATCTGTCTATCTGTCTGTCTGTCTGTCTGTCTGTCTGTCTCACTCGCTCTCACACACACACATGAATTTTCTTATATTGTTTATACATTTTTATTTATCTCTACTCTGTCATTTATTAATTAAGCAAATTAATAAAATTTAAATAATTAGAATTATAAATTAATTTAAAAATGTAATAAAAATATTTTGTTTCATGTATATATATATATATATATATATATATATATACACATGAAACACAAAAGAGATATTTTTTATTTAATTTTTTATTTAATTTATAATTCTAATTATTCAAATTCTTATTACATATAAATTACAGTATAAATATAAATACATATTTCAGGATTTTTTTGCACACCCAAATGATAAATGCGCTGATTAAATCAAATAAAAAATATTTTTCTGTTCCATGGAAAAACATATTTTAGAACAACATGAGGATGAATAAACAAGGACAATAAGTTTAACATGAGGACACGCCTCTCCCCTTCCTTCACCTCTCACATATACGTTCACCCTCGTTTACCGTGTTAACATTGTGGCCAGTCCTATTACAGCTCTGATCCTGACCACCGGTGGAACGGGTTTTGCACCCCGTGATGTCACACCTGAGGTACATGGGAGCCCACCTGTTTGTGTTTGTGTCCATGTGAGTGTGTGTTTCTGCCCCCACCCCCACGCGTCCTTGTTTTCTGAGTCTGACTGTGAGTGAGAGAGAAATTGTGACGTCTTTATTTTTGTGCATTGTGTATGTTTGCATACAATTTATTTTTCCATTCACATGCATGCTGTTTGGTTGATGACAAGCAGTTCTTGGAAAATGTGTTTACAGTGACTTTTTAAAGGCTTTTTAGAAATGGCATTACCTGTATATTATATAAAATGACAGTCCAGTCATTTTCATTATGAATAAATATTATATACATTACTGTTTGGGGTCAGTAAGTTTTCTTTGGAAAGAAATTCATTCTTATATTCAGCAAGGACGCATTAAATTGTTCAAAAGTGACAGTAAAGACATTTATGTTTTTGTTACAAGCTACAAAATTTCCATTTCAAATAAATGCTGTTCTTTTGAATTTTATATTCATCAAAGAATCCTGAAAAAAAAATCTCGATTTCCTCAAAAATATTAAGTGGTATTAATCTCCATTACCCATCAGCCCCAGCCAAGGAGCACTCCGCTGTCACTGCTGCTTTGAAGTCCAGAAGCTGAGCCGATAAGGGGATTAAACTTTGAAGAACCCCTTTATGCTCGGTCAAGCTCAGCTACAGCACTCCCCCTCTCCCTTCCTAAATAAAAGTATCCCTCCATCCCACATCCACGACCTATTAAAGCAGCCTCCTCACAGCCACGGCTCCTCCTCTATGACAGCGACTCTGCTTCTGGACTGAGTTTGCGCTTCTTGCTTTTAAAAAGAAGACAGACCCAGGTCACAATGCCACAGGTTTGGGAGACTCTGATCCACAGAGATTCTGCAAAACCTTTAGATCGCTGCTGTTCTCAGCGAGAGTTTTGAAACAGGCAGATTGTTAACATTTAAAGGTGACATATCATTGTTTGGGGTCAGTAAGTTTTCTTTGGAAAGAAATTCATTCTTATATTCAGCAAGGACGCATTAAATTGTTCAAAAGTGACAGTAAAGACATTTATGTTTTTGTTACAAGCTACAAAATTTCCATTTCAAATAAATGCTGTTCTTTTGAATTTTATATTCATCAAAGAATCCTGAAAAAAAAATCTCGATTTCCTCAAAAATATTAAGCAGCACAACTGTTTTCAACATTAATAATAATAAAAAAAAAATGTCACTTGAGCACCAAATCAGCATATTTGAATGTTTTCTGAGGGATCGTGTGACACTGAAGACTGAAGTAATGGCTGTGGAAAAATTCAGCTTTTCATTACAGGATTAAACGACATTTTAAAAATGGTTTAATTTTTTTTTTACTAAAATAGAAAATAATTTCTTTTAAATAGTAGTAATATTTCACAATATTACAGTTTTTACAGTATTTTGGATCAAATAATGAAGCTTTGGGGAGCAAAAATGATTTTCCTTCTTATCGACTAAAGTCATCAGAATGTGAACCAGGGGTGCGTTTCCCAAAAGCAACTATGGTCGCAAGTTCCATCTTTACCAATAGAGTTCAATAGAACTAACGACCATAGTTAGCTAATGCTAAAGATGAATATTGCTTCAGAATAAACCATATTTGCAAAAAACAAACAAAACACACACACACAGATATGGTTTAAAACGCATGATTTCAGCACGAATAAACATGATAATCAGAACCAAAACAGATGTTTTTTTTATCAGATATGAGCTGTAAAGGCTCAGCTCTATTCTGGAAAAGGGGGCGGGGAGCAGCAGCTAATTTGCATTTAAAGAGACATGCCCGAAAAACAGCGTGTTTCTGCTTCCACTCAAAATAGGCATTTTTTTAATTATATAATAAATAATCTGGGGAGTATTTTGAGCTGAAACTTCACAGACACATTCTGGGGACACCAGAGACTTATATTACATATTGTAAAAAGGGGCATAATATGTCACCTTTAAGTAAATACTGAGTGAATACGAAATGGGGAAGGACCACAGACCTCAGCACATCTGAGAAAATGGGATGTGTGTTCCCAGTGTTTCAGTTTGCACTAGAATGTCACCTGGAAACACGCAAACACAATTGTCAAAGGTCCATAAATTGCTAAAATAGACATAATGGGTGTTTCTTTAACCTTGGGCACTTTCTGAAAGTCCTGAATATTTCTACCATATCTATAACGATGCACAGGGTTTAGCAGAATTTTGTGACAAATAAATAAATGAATAAAATGGTCGACCCTTTTGTCTTGCTTAAATTTAGCTGATGTAGGTAGCATTTTATGTATCCTAAGTACACACAAGTAAATCACATTTTCCCAATTTAATTTGACAAAATTATAGCTTAATTGGAAATTACATAATCATTTTTTTTTTTCTCCCATATTTCCCATGTCTCATATTTCAATTAACTTTTGAAAGACTTTTTTAAGTTCAACAATCAGGTAGTGGAAGTAAAAATCCCATTTATTTTCTCCATAGGGGATTTTAACTTAAAAACTTTTAAAGACAGACCTTCTGTCTTCGTTGTTAACAATGGTATATGCTTTTGTTAAAGTCATTAGTTCACATGATTTCAACTTATTTTATAAATAATTGTGTTTAACAGCAGAATTCCAGGTTAAAAATTACATTACCCGTGATTACAAAAGAAAAATCTACACCAATAAAAGAATTGTGGTGAGAAAATCATGGCAAAACAACACTTTAGTGCCCACTCCCATGAAACACTGTGAATGACGTAATAGTCAGTCTCTCAATGCTCTCAGTTATACAGTATGCATATTTTGAAATAAACAACTTAAATTGTTTCTATATT